TGAATCAGCATGGTTGTGGTGGTGATAAGTTTCTTTAGCGTGAAGTTATACATATGGTTTGTGGTTGTACTCGTGGGTTTGATAGCCACCATAACTTGATTGATTCGGGAGATATTTAATTCAAATGGTCTTGTTATGTAAATGGATTCCAGAAAAGTCATGGCAGTTTAGATCGCGACTTGAGGTTTGTATATCTCTGCGGTCTGGGAATTCGGTTGCGTATTGCATTGGTTCTTCAAACATAAGCTAAGTGAAAGGTTTCTAGCCAATGGGGTGACTTATTCCACTAGTAGTTCAAGGGTTATAGTGAATACGTGTATTATCGCATAGCGGCATGATAGGTATAGTGAACAACACAAAATTTGAAAGTTGAGGATCAAGGTTGCAGTTTGGTGTTGATAGAGATTTCACGAGCTCTGACGAGCAGGGAAGGATTAAGATGTTTAGAGTAAGCTAGTATCGTCTTTAGCTTCACCTGAAATCGGTGTCATGTGTAAGAAGCTTTGTGTACTGATTTTTGCGAACTTTCAATTCGCTTTACAACATTGTGTAGCTGGTAGTACGGATGTGCAGGCTTTGTTACCTGGTTCGGAAGGTCGGGGGAGCGTATTCCGCGGAAAGATTGTACAAGGGTGACATGTAGTCACTTGATTGATTAAGGATTGAAACCAAGTATGGAGAATTTTGGTACTATTTCTAATGTGAGAGTTAGGACCTGAAAGGCGCCCTATCCAATTGGTTGAGAATTGTGAAAGTTTGTTTTGAATTTGATGGTTGTTCTTGCGTGTTATAGAAAAAGGGTTATTATGGGTCCTTGAAAGGTCATTATCCCAATGCGGTACGATCAAAATCGGTTTGAGGTCCGTGGATGGATCTAAACATGAATGTGGGCTCTATAACATGTTAGATGTGTTCATTTTAGCATAACGTTGTTTTCGGAGGGGTCTTCGGGCCTTGAATGCTATTTCTGTTGTCGGCCCATCCGTGTAGTCTCAATTATGCTATGTGGGTTATGAGGCAGTTTGATTATTCGCACTCATATTGAGATCCCGTATAGGTTGCGGTGTTATATGAGCAGGGTGCTCTCGAAATACAGGTCATTTATTGCACCTTAGTTGTTCTTGAGTTTTATAGCGTATGACGCTACCCATCTCCGCAGGATTTATATTATGCACTTGGTGTGCTTGTGGTTGATATTCGGGCATTGTGTGAGTTTGAGCGTTACGGCACGATGGGTGTTTTCTTTAGATTATTAGGTGGGATTGGGTGGCACGCCGCCACGGGTATGTTGTTTGCATCGGGTTGCACGGTATCATATGTGGATTGGGGTGCACACCGAAACAGTGTGATGTTGACTACAGTTCCCTATATCTATTCTTATATGTTTTGTTTCTCATTTCTGGGAAGGGTTCATAACATCCTTTCGGTTGTTTAATTAGTTGCGTGGGAGTTCGTTTTCTTTATGTATCGCATTCGAGTTTGTAGTTGTTGGGCACATTGTGGCATCAAATGAGATATTTGGTAGTATCTAAGGTGGCTTACTGCCTGAGTAGCTTATGCTGGGGGAGACGAGATTATTGGACCTAGGATCAGTGCGAGCAAATTTATATGAAACATATTAAAGAGAAAATATCGTTATTTGGTTCATAATTAGGCAATGGTTCTTGTCAGAAGGAGAAACTCAATAATTTGTTCACTCGGCAGTTGGTTATGAATTTCTATACATTTCTTCCATCGTGGAAGCATTTCAAGAGTTGGAACAGGACTTATATGTATCATGAGGTGTGTTGTGGATATCAGATTCATGGAATTTCGGCTATTGTTATCGGAGGATGTTATTATGGTCATGTGAATGGTGCGGTGCATGGTCTAAATTCAACAAAGGTATGCAATCTTGTATTGGTGTATCGTGTAGTGATTGATACGGTGTTCGTAGGTTGGAAACATGCATGGTGGAGAATTCTGGATGTTAGAATTGGGATCTAAGGCTTAATTGAATCTTTATATTGGCTCAAGATAATGTGCTCAACTGGGTGTGGTAGCACGGGTAGGTGCACAAAGTGTTAAACAGTGATTTTGGACAACTCCGGAACAATCCTTAGCACGTTCGATGACAAATGTATATTTAAGTGGGAGAGAATGTAACGACCTAACCAGTCGTTTTGACTGTTAGAACCCCCTTCCCCTAAATAAGACTCCCCGGTATGTGTTTTTATTAATTTACGACTTGCGGGGATTGTTGGTTCGGAATTTGGAAGTGATCGGGTTGAAATCGTAACAATTGATTCCTTAGTTTGGCTTTAAAATGGCAAATTTGACTTCGGTCAACATTTTGAGAAAACTACCCTAGAATCGGGATTTGACGGTTCCAATAGGTTCGTATGATGATTTTGGACTTGGGCGTATGTTCGAATTAGGTTTTTGACAACCCAGGAGCGTTTTGGCGATTGATAGTAAAAAAATCAACTATTTAAAGGTTTAATGTTCTTTAAATTTGGTTTGGAGTAGGTTTTGGAGTAATCGAGGTCCGTTTGAAATTCCGAGTAGGGGAATAGCTCCGTATTGTGATTCTGGTCTTAGGAGCGCGTCCAGATATTAATTTGTAGGTCCGTAGGTCATTTTGGAGTCATTTGGCGAATGTTAGAAATTTGAAGGTTTTTAAGAAGTTTGATCGGGAGTGGACTTTTTTGATATCAGGTTCGGAATCTGATTCTGGAAGTAGGAGTAGGTCCGTAATGTCAATTATGACATGTGTGCCAAATTTTAGGTCAATCGGACGTGATTTGAGAGGTTTCGTCATTGATTGTAGAAATTTAAAGTTTCAAAGTTCATTATGTTTGAATTGGAGGGTGGTTCGTGTTTTTAGCGTTGTTTGATGTGATTTTAAGGTTCGGCTAAGTTCGTATGATGTTTTAAGACTCGTCGGTATGTTTGGATGGGGTCTCGGGGGCCTCGGGTGAGTTTCGGATGCTTAACGGATCAAATTTGGATTTGGAGGAGGAGCTGAAGCAGCTGGACATCTGGTACGATCGCACCTGCACCAAAAAGGGCCGCAGGTGCGAGCTTGCGGAAGTGAGGCATGAGTCGCAGAAGCGGAAATGCATGGGCTGTCCAGGCACCGCGGGTGCGAAGAATTTTACAGCGGGTGTGAAGACCGCGATTGCGAAGAATTTTACAGCGGGTACGAAGACCGCGACTGCGAAGAATTTTACAGCCGGTGCGACGACCGTAGGTGCGAAGAAATCCATTGCATTCACGGACATCACAGGCGCGAGAGTTTTTCCGCGGGTGTGAAGACCGCAGGTGCGAAGAAATCATCGCGGGTGCGAAGATCGCTGGGCAGTGAGTATTAAAATGAGGGTTTGAGCATTTTTGCTCTTTTCTTCATTCTTGGATGATGTTTGGAGATTTTTGAGACGGGATTTCAACTAGCAACTCGAAGGTAAGTTAATTCTACACACTTTGAATTAAATACATAGATTATGGGTAGATTATAACCTGTAAATTGTGGAAATCAAGGGTTTAGGTGAAAAACCTAGGTTTTAATAAAAATGCGATTTTAACCACGAAAATGGTTATGGAATTGGATGGAAATTTGTATAATTGAGTTCTTGAGATTATGGGTAACGATTTTCTCCAAATATTTTTGAAATCCGGGCACGTGGACCCGAGGTGAATTTTAGGAATTTTTCCATTTTGGCTTGGGTAATTAATTTAATACATTTATTGAGAATGTATTAATTATTTTTTATAACATTTGGATAGTTTCGGATTTTTCGGCATCGAATTGGAAATTTAATGCGACGTGGTGATCGGGAAGTTGACTTTGAGACAAGGTAAGTCTCCTGTCTAATCTTGTGAAGGGGAATTTACCCCATATGTGATTAAATTAATAATTGTTGCTAATTGTGGGGGGGCTACGTACGCACGAGGTGATGAGAGTCCATGCGTAGCTACTATTTATGCTAAAGTTCGGGTAGTTTAGGACTCAAATCATGAATTACTTGTGTAAATTATATTCTTTATTTAATTAAATTATTTGAAACATATTGTGAATTGTTAGGAAAATATACTAAAAGATGGAAATCTAATATACTTAATTTTTCTGTATAAATTATTTAATTGTTAAAGGAAATTGTGCATCCTCTCGTACTAATCTATCAATAAATAAACTCTCATTCTGGAGGTACATAAGAAAATGTCCTCCTTTCTTGTGGAGCGGGCCGAATGCCTCGGCAGTATAGATGCAGCCCATAATCCTCCCTAAACTCAGTGTCACAAGTGCATGAGCATTTACTAGGAATATAAAATAAAATACAGCAACTGTCCGGAATACAAATTAGACAAAAATAATATAAATAACTCTAAAGGAGACTCTACTGGCTGCGGATCGTAATGTAGAATGTAGCTCACCTAAGTATCCGTATTAACCACACCTCTGCGCCCACAACGCCGCTAGACATATACGTACCTGCACAAAATTCTGCAGCAAGTGTAGCATGAGTACGTAAACAACGTGTACCCAGTATAATAAATAACATAAAAATAGAAATATTTAAATCAACATGATTCACAGAGTTAACAATAATTTTATTTAACCAACAGAAATAATTAAATTCCTTCAAATGCAACAATTCCCAATCTATTAATTAAATTCACAAGCTGCAATTAAAATAGCAAAGTATCATGTACTTATTATTATTATTATGCATGATTTCTACCGAGGTCGTACGTCCCGATCCATAGTGACGTGTACACTGCCGAGGGACGTGCGACGCGATCCAATCTCTAGTGAACTTGTTAAAAGTATTATTATTTACTATGTAAATCCCCATTCTTTACTATGTATATTAAAGGAAAATATGATTTCAAAAGTAATAAAAATGAGAACCCAATTTAGTATTTATTGTTGGCTTGCCTGACAATGGTGTCCGACGCCATGACGACTTGGGTCGTGACACAATTAAAAAGCATAAGGTAGAGAAAACTTCCTTGAATATCTAGTCTGGGTCTAAGTCAAAGTCGGGCTCCATTCTTCTTGCCCGAACTAGTGTACACATCCACGCAGACAACTTCTTCTCAACTTTCTTGGGGTACACCCCACACCTGTCGTTCTTAATCACTGGGACCTTCTCTTTCGAGCTTTTTACTCTCCACTCTACACTTGCAGCTGGCTTCTCCTTTCTCACCCCCATCTCCACATTCATCTCGAAAGTCACCGTCTCATCAACCACTCTAAGCATGAGCTTTCTATCATGTATGTCTAATATTGATCTGCCCATCGCTAAGAATGGTCTTCCTAAAATAATGGGAACCTCTTTGTTCTCCTCCATCTTCACCACAATGAAATTTACAGGAAACACAAACTTATCTACTCGAACTAAGATATCTTCCACTATTCCCTCGGGTATTATAGTTATTTGGTCAGCCAGCTGCAAAGATATTGGTGCAGACCTTATCTCTCAAAGCTCATTCTCCACCTTCCTATAAATAGACAAAGGCATTAAATTAATTAAGGCACCAGAATCACATAAAGACTTCTCAAAAGTAAGAGTGACTAATGAGTAAGGTATAGTAAAACTCCCTGGATCTCCACACGTTTGTGGGAGTTTGTTGTGCAAGACTGCACTGCAATGCTCGGTGAGCTTGACCACTGAGGTCTCTTCTATCTTACTCTTCTTTATAAGGACCTCCTTCAAGAATTTGGCATAAGTTGGCACTTGTGAGAGAACTTCTGTGAATGACAAGTTTACATTATATTGTCCCAGCATCTCTAAGCAACTCTCAAACTGCTTGTCCATCTTTTCTCTATACAACTTTTAGGGAAAAGGTAGAGCGGGCATGTGCTCGCTCTCATTAGATTCCTCCCTTCTTGAAATTTCCTCCTCCTTATTTTTCTCAGCTTCTTTCTTACCTTTCTTCTTCTTATCAACTTCATTTTTCATCTTCTCCTCAACTTCTTTTTCAGGTACCACCTCCTTTTGGACTGGAGTGGGATCTTTCAACACTTGCCCGCTTCTCAAGGTCACAACATTAACCGTTTCTTTGGGGTTTCTTTCAGTGTCAGATGACAGAGTCCCTGGGATTCTCTCGGACAATACAGTTGCAATTTATCCCACTTGCTTCTCCAAATTTTGCAAACCAGTGCGAAGTTCCTTGATAGCTGAACCATGAGCATCTAATCTCTCATCTGTCTTGACAATGAAGGACTTCAGTAGATCTTCTAACCCAGACTGAATTTACTGTTGAGGATGGAACTGCGGCCTCGACCGTTTCACAAAACCAGGAGCTACATGTCCTTGAAATCTGGGATTGTTTTGTTGCCATGCATTTGCAGTACCACCCAGGTGAACTCCATAAAAAAATCGGGGTGCTTATGACCCATTGCATTGAAGTTATAATTCCCAACAACATTAACTCTTCCATATATATCACAAGCTGCATGATTCTCACTCTGTATTGAAGCTAAGGTCAACTTCCTTATCTCTTTCTCCATGGCATCAAGTTGTACCTGCACAGATGTGTTAGCATCAACCTGGTGAACACTAGTTGATCTTCTTTTTTCAGCAATTTCATAGGGCCACTGATTTGCATCTTCAGATAACTCATCTAGAATTGTGACTATCTCCTCTGGAGTCTTCTTCATCAACGGGCCTCCAGCTGCATTGCTCAATGTTCTATGAGCGGCGGGTGTCAATCCATCCCAAAAGTCCTGGAGTTGCAACCACAGTTCAATGCCGCTATGTTGACATTTTCACACTATCTCCTTAAACCTCTCCCAGGCTTCAAACACAGTTTCAGTCTCGTTCTGGCAAAAGTTATGAATTTCTCTTCACAACTTGCCCGTCTTAGCTGATGGGAAATATTTATCAATAAATTTTTTGGTCATCTTATCCCGTGTTCTAATCGATCCATTAGGCAAGCTTCGAAGCCAGTGCTTTGCATCATCTTTGAGTTTGAAGGGGAACACCCTTAAGTAAACGGCATCTTGTGACATAACATTGTATTGAAAGGTGTTCGTAATCTCCTCGAAGTCTATTAGATGACTGTTTGGATCTTCGTTTATCTTTCCTCTGAAGACACTACTATTTTGAAGGGTTTGAAGCAACCCCTGCTTTAACTCATAATTGTTAGCTGCAACTAGAGTTGGTCTCACACTTGATAAGCCTTGGTTGTAGACTGGTCTAGCATAATTACCCAGTGGTCTCCCAGCACCAGGAGCTATATTTCCGAATTGGTCTGCACCCAAAGGTAGATTCTGAGCAATTCTCCGAGCCTTCTCCTCTTCATAGACAAGTTGTGCATTTCTAAGAGGTGTCTCATCAGCATCTCGTGCATCTTTTTCTCTTTGCTGGGCTGCCTCTTTTGCAGCCAATTCAACATTATCCTCATCTCCCACCATAACTTCCTTGGTTGAGGATTGCCCAACCTTCTGTGTATTCTCGGGGAGATTTCTTTCCTTCCTCAGCTGTCGCAGTTGTTTCTCGATTTCTGGTTCATAAGGGGGCACTTCCTTCCCAGAGGTTCGAGTCATGCACCAATCTAACCTGTAGCCTGCGCATAATCAAGTAACACCAAAAACGTAAAAAGAGAAAAATAAAATAAAAAGAAAAATTCCTGAATTAGCACTACAAACTATTTCAAACACTATTAATTGTCAATCCCCAACAACGATGCCAAAATTGACGAGCGCAAAACACACACTTAAATATGCTCGCTAGTCGAATATAGTATAATATAATATCGTATCTATAGGGATTGGAGTTAAACAATATTTTTGTAGTTTATTGCTTAATTGCTATCCAAGATGATCGACAGTTGAGATTTATGTGACTAAAACTAAAATTAACTAAGAATCTAACTTATTGACGAATGACACTCAAACAAAAGTCAACAAGGAAGATATTAATGGGAGAAAACAGGGATTGATTGGATAGGTGTAAAATAAATATCTGGGATTTAAATCTAGTTAATTCACTTCTAATGTTCAAGTTAGTCTCTCGAATTCACTCAATTAGTAGTTCAAACGTTTAGTAGAAACGCCTCTCTCGATTAAGTCTCAACCTCACAATATGAACCAATTTAAGCTCAGCGAAGATATGCAAGAATTCGTAATGGATTGGTCTTTAGGAGAACCTCTCTCGATTATCCTCCTAACTAGGATTAAACAATAATTCAATTAGCCTCTTTCGATTACTAAGAATGCAACGATATCACAAGTTATGCCTCTCTCGATTACCTGAACATTTGAATATAGATGCAACAATTACATCATCCAAAAACATTTACACATAAAAACTAGAGTTATAATCACAAATAAGTTTAAGTTAAAGGAAAATAGTCCCTAAAGAGAACTACTCCATATATATGGAGTAATTCATCACAAATAAGTTTAAGTTAAAGGAAAACATACAACCATCCAAACTCTTTTCTTGAGTGACGATTGAATGATTAAATCCTTGTGCTCTTGCTTATCCCACTTCTCCTTACCCTCCTTAGGTCTAAAGTATGTGAAAAGTCCCAAAATTACCGTTTTTCCATGAATATATACCAAGTAGGGTTGGGCCCAAATGAACACACCTTCTCCTACGCGAAATAGGACTCTTTCTGGAGTTAGACGTGCGCGACCGCGCACCTGGGAGTGTGCTCGCGCATATGGCTGCGCACTTTGTGTAGTGTTCTTCCTCCCATGCGTGCCTAGTGCGCGGTCGCATACCTGGGTGACGTCCGACTCGATTCTTCATTTCTCCTTTTGAATACACTATTGTCTGTTGATCCCCGAACTCGATTTCAACTTAATCATTGGGCTTTTACTCAGACTTCAAAGCACCAAAATATCAAGAATTCATCCTATAACATCTACATAGCTCGGAATCACTTCTACAAGCATTAAACGTATAATTAGAGCCAAACACTAGCGATTAAGGCTCAAAATCATCTAAAGTGTAGTAAATTAGAGTGTGACAAGAAACTAAAGCATACAATTATAGTCTACCATCAGCGATCGCGGCCATTTCCCCGCGATCGCGATGAACAAACTTCCATTTAACCCTTCCCAACTCTTCTCAGACAGCCTAAAGTTTATTAGCCATATCCTTTTGTACAAAAATTCAAATGACAAACTGTTGGATTTTCTGAAAACTAGACACAAAGGATTACTACTTTCATTTTTGAATCATCTCAAAATTCTTTATAGATTGCAAGTTACAAGCTTCCAAAGTTGGGTCTGTGCAGCATGGATTTTCTTCTATGCGATCGCGTGAAGGCTTCCGCGATTGTGATTCACAACTCCATTTTTCCTATTTTTCTCTTCGCTATCGCGACCAAATCTCCGCTATCACAATGTACACCCCTGTAGCCAAAACCTAGCAACTAAAAATGGCCAAACAATTGTCAAAAACCACCCCAAAACTAACCCGAGCCCTCATGGATCCATGCCAAACATCCACACAAGTCTAGAAACATCATGCGAACTTGCTCGCACGATCAAATCACTAAAATAACACCCGAAACAATGAATCGGATATCAACACGCGTGAAATTTGAAGGGAGAACTCAAGAACTTCTAGAATTACAACCAAGCATCCGAATGCTATCAAACCAACTCCGAACGACCCCGAATTTTGCAGTCAAGATCCAAATCATAACGCAGACCTACTCGATATTTCAAATCGCACTTAACAACATCAAAATCACAAATCGCACCTGAAATCGACTTAATGAAGTTAATGAACTTTCAAAATTCAAAACTAACGGTGAACAAGCCTAAACACCTCGGATTGATCTCAAATTTGGCACACAAGTAATAAATGACATAAGGGACCTATATAACTTCCGGAATCAAAATCTAGCCCCGACATCAATAAAGTCAAACCTCGGTCAAACCTATGAATATATCCAAACATCAAATTTCCAACTTTCGCCAATTAGTGCCGAAACCATTTAGAATTATCCAAATGTAAATCCGGACCTACACCCGAGTCCAAAATCACAATCCGAACTTAACGGAATCATGAAAACTCCGATCCGAGGTCGAATACTAAAAATTCAAACTTTGTCAACTCTTCCAACTTATAGCTTCAACAATGAAGTTCATTCTTCCAAACAAGTTCTGAAACACCTGAAAACCAACGCCAACAATTCACACAAGTCATAATACGTCATACAGAGCTACTTGTGCCCCCAAACTACCGAGCGAAGTGCAATTGCTAAAAACGATCGGTCGGGTCGTTACATTCTCCCCCACTTAAATATACGTTCGTCCTCGAACGTTTCAAGAGTCGTTCCGAAGCCATCAAATCGCTGAGTAACCTTACTATGCACATACTCGGGGGTGATCCCACATCACCCTAATCCATATAAGCCTGACGAAACAACCTAGCTGACGATCTTCAACACAACTTGAGCCCATAACCTTAGAATCCAATTTTTCAACACCCAAAATTTCCTATAAGACCCGAATCTCGCTTCTACACACTGTATAATTCTGAACAAACTGCATCAAGCCATAACCATCACCCAAGACACAACCACATAACTCGAATACTCATAGCAATAATTTTTAATCACCGTAACTGCTCGATAACCAACCCAATACTAAAAAAATTCATATCAAATGAAACCTTGTTCAATAACTTAGTACAATGTAGATGATAAAAGAAACAAGCAGAAACTTATAACCACTCATCAGATCAACAAGTCATGGAGCCCTCTATCGTCTGACAAGAACCGTAGTCTAAATTCTAAGTTCACCTTCGATATTATTCCTCTATACATACTGCAATCAAATCCGATAGTACCT